TTGGTGTGTGATGAGTCGGATCACTGATGTGGCACTATACAAAAACCTGCATACCGGCGCTTTAGATAATTTTTGATTAAACAGATGTAGTCCAAATCGTGAATATCACGACATTTGCGACGAGGGTTTACTTCCTATTAACTAAGAAAGGCCGAGTTTTGTTTGATTTTAAATTGCTCGAAATAAATGGCGATACGTACCAATGTATATGCATTCAGTTTATAATTCAAACTGACTTGAAAGTATAAGCTTTTCACCGAGCTTGATGCGACGTGAAGTTCGTAGTAGAAGGCTTGAAGATTATTTTCTCTTGCCATGAATGCATGAGCGCCCAGATATTAAATAAATTCCAGTAACGTGGCGCTGCTGAATAAACAAGATCTTTTTCATTTTTCACAAATATTAGATAAACGAAGCTATATTATAAAAAATAATAACGTCCTTGATGCGATCCAAAAGTTTAAATTTGTGAAAAAAATGCATTTAAATGTTTCTTTCATGTTGGCATGAACAACAAACACTGCGGTCACGCCAGGTGCTCGAGGCCGACGTTCTGATACCATCGCTCGAGGTCAAAACAATGAACGCTTATCCGAGAATCAGCTTTGCCGATCCATAAAATAACAAAATAACAAAGGTAATGGTTCCTGTGAACTGCCAACGCCTTTTACAACATTTCGCACTTTGGAAAATGTGTAGCAGTTCATGTTATAACAGGCACATTCCTATCGAATTTTTAACCGTTGATCTTTCTTTCCAGAAGAGTCAAATTAAAAAAAATAGATTGATTCTACGCGAATTTGTGCGTGAATATGACGAGCTCCATTATTTTGCCATTAAATCATAGCACAAACGCTTCTGATTCTTCGACGTTCGTGTCTGCTTTCTAATTTTCTGATACTGTTTTTTCCATTTTCTATCGCATCATCACGCTTGTTTTTCAATTCATTTAAGAAAAAACTTATGCAGGCAGACAACCACGAATTGCGTGTTGCGACTTAATAGTCCTGAATTGTAGGCGATGTTAGCGCCTTTCACTCGATCAGGAAGTCGGCGCGTCTTGTGAAAGCTTGCATTTCTTTAGCGCGACGTGTCAAGCGCGATACGTCGATACGAATGTTAACATGACTTTTATAAGCCATTAATTTCTGAGCGTCGATAAAGTACGAGAATAACTCAACTCAGAGGTTCATCAGGACGTGTTTCAGATCCAAACGATGAAATTAAAAAAAGTAGACCTGACAACTTCATTCCTATATATTTTCTGTTAATTAATTACCGGGGAAGTTTACCTCGATTTGAGTAATTGTTGCTATGAGTTTGCATGGTTATGATATTAGTCAAATGAATCTTATGCGCTTGGAATTAAATAATCATAAGTTATACAGAAATTCAGCCCCCGACATGACTGCCTTTGAGACATGAGAGTGCCCTAGAGATTACACTAAATAAATTACCCTAGCATAAAAGGCAGTCGTGTACGCGAATTTAACCAGATATAATTATATCACAAACGTCATTAATGTCAGACAGCAGTTTTTCATACGATTCTTGTTCATCTGGTCTGCTGCTGGGAGCCGAATGTGTATTTTCAAATTAGTCTGGAGTCCAGAATATCATTCTTGTCTTTCGTGTCGTTCGTATTATTTTTTAGTAAGAAATCGGATGTAATCGGTTCAACGCGATCTGATAAACGATCTTGTGGAGAAACGATGTCAATATAGGTTATAAAATCGGAAAATAATTATACAATTGATGCCTTTATTGTTCCTTCATTTTTGATGAAACACTTAGAGATAATTCCATCCAACTAATGTTGTGTTCTTCGACGCATTTTCCTGATCTCACTCATTCCTCTTTAATTTCAATTTAACAGTGGCTGTTTGCATTGCTTAAGTGACCTGCCTTCTACATCATAATTCTCATAGATTTCTCCAAGTCGTCACCTGTTGTTTCTTGCTGCCTTCTTTTTGACTTGTTTGCTATGAAACCGAAACGTTGCTCTAATATTGTATTATATCGTTTGGTCTATCATCTTATTATTTTTTGTTGTCTTTACGGAAATCTAAGCTTCAATGGCAGGATAATGATTATTTTAATTTATTAATTTTTATATTTTTCAATTTCCGACTTTGCTTTACTCAGGCGTTCCAGTTTAATGATGCCGTGTTTGCTCCTTCGTTTTCCCGTACTTAGATTTCTTCAACAATATAAGTATAATCAATAGAACGACGACATTTATATACAAGTGACTATAACCAAAATAACAATATAAAGTCAAGTTAAACGATTTGAATGAAGTAATAGTCCGTCGATTAATAATTCCCAAACGGATTATAAATCTAATCGTTTAATTACGTATTATAAATCTAATCTTTATGCATGGTTTGCGCTTAAAAATATCCAGCAAGTCTGAAATCATAGCATATCCTTACCCAAAATCTTTACATCGCTTCTATAGACAGTACCGACACAGTACCGACTACTTTACATCGCGTGAGCTTGCAGAGTTCAAACCCTAAAACTTCTGCAACGTTCTTCGGCCAATCTTTAGAAATTATGTGAAGTTTATTTAGAAGAACGCCGATTAAGAAAGAACCAATTTTAAAATTATCGAACAAAAATATTTTCGCTAAATACTTTGCGATCGGAATCTTTAACTCGTTGAACAAATTTATGATTGAGCCAAGGCAAGTCAAATTGTAAGAAGTAATTTTTCCTATTCCTAGGGAATATCTTCAGAAAGTTGCTAAGAAAAGAGCTTCTCAGTTTTAGTAAACAAAGTTTTCGACTGAATTTCATACAAATTAATATAAATAAATTCAAATTCAAAATAACATTAATGGAGGGGCTTATTCTGCATTTGAGGTATTTAAATTTTAAAATTTAATTCAATTTAAAGCGAAATGAGCAGAAGCTACCGGTTCTCGTGCCTGAACCTGTTGAATTCGGTTTTTGAATAACAAAAGTCTGATAAAATCACATGAAAGCAGTTAGATTTAGTTTCTTTACAAGTAAGAAATGACAAAGTGTTGTTAGTTTCAATCTTCATAGTTAATATTATCGTTGAATGATTCAAGTAAAAAATCGAGCAAAGGCTCCTTTTTGGCAGGATGCTTAATGCTTATAAATGCCTCATTATCATTACAATTGCACGAGGTTAGCTAAAGATCAAGGGGACAATTGCAAGCATAAGAACCGCATAAAAACACTTTAAACTGTTCGCAGAATATTTTCAATGAAAATATTAGAATTTACTTGGAATTATTTTCGATTTTAAATTCCTACATAGTTTGGGATTTAAGCAGACAAATACTTACAAATATTAAAAAATAAATCTACATTTAGATATTTCTTTCCTTACATTTTAACGGCACAGCTCATCGTGTCTGAACCGCGCAGCGCTCGCGCAGTCGCTTTACGCGCGGCGTTTCCGCGTGCAGCGCCGCGTCAAGGTGAGCTGCTGGCGGCGCTTCGCTGCAACCTTCGGCGCGCCCTGTGTGGCCTCCGGCGCCACGGAGGCCACTATTATGTGGCCTACATTTAATAGTTAAGGCTTCCATTTATGGCTGAAGGCCTCAACTTAATATTAGAGGCTTCCATTGAATGGTGGATGCTACTATACTAACTTTTCCGTGGCCAACATGGTGATTAGCAAGATATTAGCTTTGGTGCTATACAAACGCGTTTGATAAATATTTAAGTTTATGGAACGTAGAAAATTTATATACATTTTTCAATTGATATTTTCAGATTTTTCACATAATCTTTGTGCATGGTTGTCCAGAAGAAAAGAAGCGGTGACGGCTAAGATAGGGCTGGAGTTACGACATGAGATTTCCCTAGGACATTGGTTCAGCATTGCTCTACTATGAGGTGGTTACCGGCTAAAAACTTCACTTTTGAATATTTTAAATCCTTATGAAATTTGGAATTATTCCTGAAAGTTCATGCTACGTGGCCCGAAATTGAAAAAAAACGCTCATCAAAGACCTCCATTGCCATTATAAAAATGACTAACATCGACTCCAATTTCATCGAAGGCTACTTGAGCTGCGTGACATCACTGAACTGTGCAACACCAGATACATTATACAAATTCACCTCGATCGAGTGCAATGTGAACTTTACTACTCAGTGTTTTACATCTTACACCCTGCCATATTACAAATTATACAGGACACGATACTGCGCATTATACAATATTACTCAACACCACACATCACACATTACATCATACGACGCACAACAGAGCACATCGAACATGTTACTGATTTTTTGCGCATTTTCTCATTTATGAAAAAAATACACTATTGTGCTCGCCTGTCCGTCTGTCCGTCCGTCTGTCTGTCCGTCAGTGACTTCATGTTTTCGTCGACGAGAAAATGCGCTCTCTGTCACTCACTGCAGTGAGTACTGAGTTAATTTCCTGTTGTTGCAGGCGAGGCCGCGAAGCTCGGCGGGGCCTCCGACCAGCAAGTCGCATTCAGTGAGTCTAGACCTACCCGCACCCCGACTCCTGCCATTCAGTGAGTCTAGACCTACCCGCACCCCGACTCCTGCCATTCATGAAGTAAATTGTCCCGACGTAAACAATAGCTTTAAATTTATACACTGAAGTGAATGCATAGCGCACTGAAGGTCTCAACAAGGGTGATATTGTCGACAGTCTAATGTAGGTATTTAGGTGTTTCAAAAATGTTGTATATAATGTTTCCCAGACATATACAATTATACATATATTCTGGATGTTTGAATGTAAATGTAGATCTTTTATAGCCACAACCCTCAACAGATTAAATTGTATCTGGTAATTTGATTACCATGTCGTGAGTTCAAATAGAAACTATAACCAGAATCGTCAATATGACATGATCCTGTTGCAAGTGTCACTAAAGCAAGCCTCGTCTCCTGACGTGGTCTATTATAACATTCACTATAAAAAGATGCATATTCACTTTCTGTTACAATATTCAAAGTAACAATACATACATAAATGCATGCCCTGTTTGTTGCAGTACTACAAATGCGCGAACGGCACACTCACCGAGGAGCTCTGCGAGCACGGTCTTCTCTACGACGGGAAAGGCAACGTCTTCGACAACTGCAACTACCACTGGGCTGTCAACTGCGACGGTCGATACTCCGATGGTAGTAATTGCGTCTATTTATTGTTCTAGCAGTTTTGAACATATTATAAAATTATTGATCACTTGTGTTTTAATGCTCAACGGTCGGCACGAAAAGTTTGTCATGATTAGAGAAAGAGAATTTTAGTATCAGTATGTTTGCGGTTTATGACATTGTAAGTGAACCAACTTTTATATAATGAATTTTTCCTTCCTTACCAAAGCCCGCATAGCCTAATTTTTTAGGTACAATTTCTGTTGTTGGTCACAATATTGCTCATTGTGAATGTCTTAGCGCCCGCTTTTTAGGCAGGATTGTCATTATTACAACTTCTTGAAACATTGATCAACGGCATTTCCGAGAGTTACACCACTGGGACGAAGAATACTTTATCATGTAAAACCATCCTAATCCCCGCAGTGGTGCCGCACTCCGGTGGTAACTGTTAATACGGCCTCATATCCTAATCCCCGCAGTGGTGCCTCACTCCGGTGGCAACTGTTAATACGGCCTCATATCCTAATCCCCGCAGTGGTGCCTCACACCGGTGGTCAGTGTTAATACGGCCTCATGTCCTAATCCCCCAGTGGTGCTTCACTCCGGTGGTAACTGTTAATACGGCTCATGTCCTAATCTCAGGTAGGACATGTGCCTATTCATTGTTGTAGCAGTTTTGAACATATTAAAAAATTAATGATCACCTGTTTTTTACGCTCATTGGTTGGCGCCACAAATATAAGGTCATGATTAAAGAAAGACCGCGTCGTGAGTATTCGTGTCAGTTTTTTTGCGGTTTTTCGTATCAGTAGATTGCTTAATTTTTTAAGGAGAATTTTTGTAGTTGGTGGCAAGATTCATCATTATAAATATCTTAGCGCCCGCTTGCAAAATCACTTTATAGCAGGTTTGTCATTATTACAACTTCTTGAAATGTTGATCTACGGAATTTCCGAGAGTTCCACCCACTGGGATGAAAAACATTAATTCTTTTAACACCGTCTTAATCTACCACTAGTACCTCACTCCAGTGATCAATTTTAATACGGCCTCATGTCCTAATCCCCGCAGTGGTGCCTCACACCGGTGGTCAGTGTTAACAAGGCCTCATGTCCTAATCCCCGCAGTGGTGCCTCACTCCGATGGTAACTGTTAATACGGCCTCATGTCCTAATCCCCGCAGTGGTGCCTCACTCCGATGGTCAGTATTAATACGGCCTCATGTCCTAATCTCCCGCAGTGGTGCCTTACTCCGGTGGTCAGTATTAATATGGCCTCATGTCCTAATCTCCCGCAGTGGTGCCTCACTCCGATGGTCACTGATAATACGGCCTCATGTCCTAATCTCCCGCAGTGTTGCCTCACTCCGGTGGTCACTGATAATACGGCCTCATGTCCTAATCCCCCGCAGTGTTGCCTCACTCCGGTGGTCACTGATATTACGGCCTCATGTCCTAATCCCCCGCAGTGTTGCCTCACTCCGGTGGTCACTGATATTACGGCCTCATGTCCTAATCCCCCGCAGTGTTGCCTCACTCCGGTGGTCACNGTTGTCAGTTCTAACACGGCCTCATGTCCTAATCCCCCGCAGTGGTGCCTCACTCCGATGGTCAGTGTTAATACGGCCTCATGTCCTAATCCCCCGCAGTGGTGCCTCACACCGGTGGTCAGTGTTAATACGGCCTCATGTCCTAATCCCCGCAGTGGTGCCTCACTCTGGTGGTAACTGTTAATACGGCCTCTTGTCCTAATCCCCGCAGTGGTGCCTCACTCCGATGGTCAGTGTTAATACGGCCTCATGTCCTAATCCCCCAGTGGTGCTTCACTCCGGTGGTCAGTTCTAACACGGCCTCATGCCCTAATCCCCCGCAGTGGTGCCTCACACCGGTGGTCAGTGTTAATACGGCCTCATGTCCTAATCCCCCCCAGTGGTGCCCCACACGGGGGGTGCGTGTGAGTACGACTTCGGGATCTTCTCGGCCGGGGCTTGCGAGACGTACTACCGCCTGTGCGAACACGGCGTGCCTCTAGACTACCCCTGCACTGCCGGCCTGGCTTACGACGAGCGCATCCACGCCTGCAACTGGCCCGACCTCATGCTCGAGACATGCAAGCCAGAGCGTAAGTTGCGATGATCTTACAATTATATGTTTTTTATCATATTTAGAAAGTAAAACCATCTTTGAGTTTTACAATTAACGTTTTTTATCATATTTAGAAAGTAATACAATCTTTGAGTTTAGAAGTTATGTGCGAGATTGATCTAGTGTGCGAGGCAAAAGGCGTCATGGCTGATGTGGGTGATCTTGGAGATGGTAATCAATTTTATGGGAGGCAGAATTAATTTCGAGATGAATTACATTGGACTGTATCAAAAAAGAAATTTTCCATCAACGGAGAAATTATCAATTAGCAAATAGATGACAATTCTCATTAAACACGGTAATAAAACTTCTGACAGTTAACTTTGTCTCTTACGAATTCTGGAGTTGAAATTTCTCCTTCTGAGGTCACTAAGACACGCTCCTTGATATGGTTCTGTGTCTAACGCAAATCATTTTACGGGCTGTAGGACATTCAACTCATCATTAACCCTGATGCATTCTCTGAATATTGTGTTTTTAGCGCATTTTCTCATTTATGAAAAATGCACTATTGTGCTCGTCATGTCCGTCAGTCTGTCCTTCTGTCCGTCCGTGACTTCATGTTTTCGTCGACGAGAAAATACGCTCTCTGTCACTCACTGCAGTGAGTACTGAGTTATATTTTTTATTTACCAAATACCTGTGAATAAATTATCCTGAAGAAGAGTATTCATCAAATGTAATTTCTGCTTCAACTAAAAATGTAATCGAGTCCAGTTTTTTTAAGTTCTTCAGTAGCTACAGTTGAACCGATATTTGGACCAGCATTTTTCTTAAATACTCTTTTTTTTAAGAACCGGAATTTACATAAAAAAAATTTCAAACATGCAGAAATATAACAATGAAGGAGTTTTTCCCACGCATAATTTATTAATAATTCGGGTGAAAAAATATCACACAACCCTCCAACGACCAGCTACTATGCGAGAGCAAAATACTGCATTGTATCCATACCGCATTGCTGAAATTTATTCATTAAAAAACCTCACCGACGGCGAAAACCGACAACTGGGCATAGCTGAAATTAAAGCCATTATATTTTACCAATTGGACTAATGAGCTGTAAAAAAAAATTACCCGTATGAAAGGCGACAGCTGGACGATAAAGGGGAAACAAATGCAAAAACGTTCGCATTGACCTGGCAAAACCATTTGCCTAATAAACGTTCGCCCTGACCCGTGAACCCCAATTAACCAGTGCATGCTTGTATTCCCCAATGCAGAGGTTGTAGTGTTCTCGTGCCCCGACTACGTGGACCCCAATTAACCAGTGCATGCTTGTCCTCCCCAATGAAGGTGGTAGGGTTCTCGTGCCCCGACTACGTGAACCCCAATTAACCAGCGCATGCTTGTCCTCCCCAATGCAGAGGTGGTAGGGTTCTCGTGCCCAGACTACGTGGACCCTAAGTCTCTGTCGGCGAAGTTCTTGCCGTTCCCGCGGTTCCCGTCAGGAGAGTGCGGGTCTTACATCATTTGCGTGGACGGCCACCCGCGCCGCATCGGCTGCGGTGACTACCAAGTCTTCGACGATGAGACCTTGTCCTGCCAGGACCCCGAGCACGTCCCCTCCTGGTGAGGACAACTATTTAAATAAGTTATTTATTTAGATTTATTTATTGCTAAATAATAAAGAAAGTGAATAAATTAATAGGGATGCTATAATTGATTAGGAGATGATATGCGCATGATCATGCGCCTGTGCGCCTGGTATTCTTTAAGTAGAGTTTATTTTTTGACTTTCAAATATTTATTAGCTTTAGTTGGCATTTTTAAATTCATGTTGATAAAGAAAAAGTAGATATTTTCATATTAATTAAAATTTTCTATATATTGATTGCTTGCTTATGTGGTTTTCTGCGTTGAAAGCCGAGGTAACAAAGTAACTTTCCTATGTTTATGAAGACATCGTGAATTAACTTTTCTCGTGTTTTACAGCCGAAAGTAAGCAGTACAAGAGGCCCGCCATGCAGCATATCAAACGCGTCAGCTGAAAGGATTAATCTTGTCAGCTTGGAAGACCGATTTCAGCTCTGAGAAAACAAACATTTTTTGGTTAAAGCACTCCGACAATTTTTTATTTCATCGGTTTTATATCTGTAAAAACTGATCTATGTTTTTAGTTTCAGTTGTAGTTCTCATACCTACTCTTTGATGTTCTATTTAAAAATTCTATGTAATCGTTATGTCAAAAATTGATGATAAAAATGCAGACAATGACTTTCGATCATGAAAATATTCAAATAGATTTCTTAATGAAGTCGTAAAACCCACAACAGAAGAAAAACCTTAACAAATATATATTTTAAGTCTCCTATGTAAGGAGAGAGAAAATCGCTTCTCTTGCATGCGCAATGGAGCTAAAAAAATCACATAAACGAGTTACGCAACGAAAACCCCCATAAAAGTCACGAAAATCAAATTTAAAAATATTCAAATGAAACAAAATCTTCGTCTGCTTAGCAGGCGAAATAAAAACTTTGAAAAATAAAGTTAAAAAACTTAATGGTGAATGAAAAACCTATAAATATTAGTAATAATAATGGGTCGTACCCTTATAAAAATGAGACTTGCTCAAAAGGTTAAGTCAATGTTATTATCTTAAGAAAAAAAGAATTTATAAAATCCCATAACAGTAACAGAAAATGGTCATTGGTTGTTTAAACCAATGATTTTTAAACAAATTCCTTGCATAATATGAACAGAAAATGTGATTCTGATTTTAATTTTGTCTGTTTTAACGATTAAACTGCGATGGTATAATAGTTTTCAGAATTTGAAAAAATTACATTTTCAATTTATATTTTTTTTCAATTTGACATTTCTCATAAGTAAAAATGTATACAAATTTCCAGCATCGTACCCGAACATAAAAATCTCACTCAAACATTCAAACTTCAACATTTATTGCTGCGTAGAGGCGCACTTTTTGCCCCGTGTTTCTTCTTTAGTTCTCGTAATATTTGAAATTATTTGAAATAAATTGTCATCACAATAATGTCTCTCAGTTCAGCCTTGATTTATCCCCCCCTTTGTTTGTTTTTATCCTTTGTATTTATCCCCCTTACCCCCCTTGTTGCTCTACGACACTTAGATGTACGTAACAAGGTTATACCCTGCACCCAATCCCTCCTCTAGCCAATACCTCCTCTAGCCAATACCTCCTCTAGCCAATACCTCCTCTAGCCAATACCTCCTCTAGCCAATCCCTCCTTTAGCCAATCCCTCCTCTAGCCAGTACCTCCTCTACTTCTACCCTCTAACCTATCCCTCATCTACCCTCTAAGCAATTTGTTTATCAAACTTTAAGTATATTTGGACGGTTTTTTCGAAGCCAAATAATATTTCTATTCTTCGTTATTAGTTTCTGTTGGTGAACTTCAGCAGAGTGACGAGACTCCCCGTGATATGAGCGCGCTTGTCGTCTTGGTCATCAATATTCAGGGAATCGCCTGACATTCTTATTTCAATGCTCAGCACACAACCGAAGCGGCCCAGTGGTTGCAGTTCAGAGTACCAGGATTCTCGCAAGGATGTGCGGGTTCGATCCCAACTCTGCACCAGTTTCTGGTCAGAATCGGCGAGGAGGCCGGGCGGTTAGGCAATGCAGAGTTGGTGCAGTGATTTGCGAGTTCGAGACCGCAACAAGCTGTAGATGTTCTGCTTTGTTAAGAATTGGTGACAGGCCTACGGACTGATAAGCGCTGAAACCGCTATTATTTTTTACTCAATCATTCATTTATAGACCCTTTCACCAGAAGACACCATCGAACAAATGAGCCGTGAAACAAATTGCTTTTCCACTCGTACAATTATGGATCTCAGACCCGCAGACCACGCACGTCTAATGGGTGCGCAATTCATTGCAAACTTGTCACTCAATGCGCCGCTCGCGGATGCCCTCCAAATTTCCAAGTTTCGGTTTATTAAAAATTTTTCACTCTCGTTTTTAGGCGGAAAATCCGGTGACTCGTAACAGCCTCAGATAATCACAGATAAACTTGTGATCGTAATTCTTACAAATGTAACCGGCCGGTGCAGCTTCGAACGGTAGAAAGAAATCATACCGACGGCGAATTGGTATAACCAATATTGTCTGATCGTTGCAACAGAATTTTCAATAATTCGTTTCTTTTTCTCCTGTCACATTTTTTTTTTGTTACCCTGACCTTCGTCGTCCTCACTCGTCAAAAAATGTACGGCTATTAATAACTGTTTCTTACGAATTTTGGACAAAATAAGTTATTTGCCCATAAAATAACAACTCACTTACATTCAATCTAAGCATTAATTTCTCATGTACAATCATTAGCCACTTCAGCTTAGCTATGAATCTTGATTTTGTTCTTATCTCTGGCAAGTCAATACGAATACAGCTCACAAACATTGATAATGAGCTAAGTCTAGAGGTTAAAAATATTACTTTAAACCGAAAGCTTGAAATGCTAATTCATGTCATCAAGTCACTGCAATGCATTTGCGTCTGTACCTCCTCGTCTCATGCGTACCTGCGAGGTACATTGAACTGTTATACAGCAGAACAATTCGCAGATGCGAGGCCGCTGTTCACATATCAGCTCATGTAATTAGAGTTTGTACTGAGTTAGTTGAAGTACTATTATCCTGTTGTTAAATAATTTGTATTATTTCGTTACTTTTGTTTGGCAGAGAAGAATCAATCTCAATTTATTCTTCATGTCTCACTATGAGAAGGTTTCCGACGTTAGTTATACAGCATGTCCTGACCAGTATGAACAATTTGATGAAAATCTTCTGGTAACCGTTAATATTCAGATTGGTAAACATACACAATGATCAAATCTAATCTTTGAATTCGATAGAAGCTGCATGGCAATCTCATCTTGATATAAAGTTACTGTATAACACCCCGTTTTAATTAACCATATCTTTTCAAATATATACCATGGGACCTTTCTATTCATTTAAGGAGGAAGATCAGGCAGGTTCCGTTAACAAAATGAGTGAAGCAGGCGACCAAGAGCTGGACGAACAGCCGTAGAAGAGGCAATCAGTTGGTCCAGTGGATGACTTGCCCAATGTTCAACCTAAGACTCTTGAACGACGTTCTAAATAATTATGTAAATATGTTAAATAATTCTTTAGGCTAAGTTTTACTGAATTTCGTACGTTTTGATAGTCAGTGTGCAATATATTGAATAAATTGGTGTTCGTTTGGCGGTTACTTCATCCGTAATTTCCGCTGGATTTATCTGTCATAATAGAACCCTTGTGTAAGTTTAATCGTTAGGTGGAATCTATATTTTCCAGTATTTGTTCCTAACTTCGTGTATTCCTTAGAAATTTTTAATCGCTAGAACATTTTTAGTAGTGTATAGTATTCTAAATAAACTGTTTTATGTCACAACTTAATGCCGGCAATCGCGCTAGTGGGGGGAAGTATGTAGCCGCGCCTCATGCGTCTCTAATTTTTGTACCGCGATTTTCCTTATAATTTTTTGGCGATCATTGAAACAGTTATTTCTTATATTTTTGGTCTTAAATTTGTACTCATTTTTCCATTAATGTTTTTGTCTTTCGGTTTTACTAGCATTTTCATTTAGAGAAAAAGCCTGTTCATCCTGATTATCCGAAGCGCGTCACTTTCATTCTATTAGTCGTGAAGAACTTTGCACTTCACTGTTGGTGAACCTTAATTCTTTGACCTTATATATTGTGACATGTAAATTAGTGCGTGATGATTGTGAATAGTTATATTGTGATATATAAATTCGAGTTTTGATATTTATTAATAGTAATTTTGTTAGGAATAACTAGGATTAACCGTTATTGCTACATCTTAAATTTGTTATTCTTTGTTTGCAGAATCTTATTGGTTAACCACGAACAATAGGTTCAGTACCAGCCATCCGCTGGGTTTTTGAGTTCATTCCGAGTTTATTTTGGGTTCAGTTGGAATTTTCACTGTTCCCTTTACCACGTTTTACTGAACCTAACTCGGTTATCACGATCAGTTAGCTTCAGTACGAGCCATCCGCTGGGTTTATTTTGTGTTTACTCTGGTTCACTCTAGTTCACTCTGGGTTTTTTGGGTTCATTCCGAGTATTTTGTGTTCTTACCAGTGCCTGTGTTACCAATAAATCGTCAGACTACCAAAGTTCACTTCCCTGCATGGATAAAGTTTCGTTTGTCTGGCTGGTGCTGACGTAAGAGCGTTCGGACGTCACCGTCGCGCTTACATATTTTACATCCAATCCCTTTTCTACCCTACCATCATTCCTCTTCTAATCATCCACCCCATCTCGCTTCTATCCTGCATCAATAAAAAATTGACCTCGTGAAATTCTCATGTAGCAATCAGCAGGCATTTCCTGTTCTCACATGACCTTTACAGAGCCTTGAGTTTTCATCCTGGTTTGCTGTAGACACGACATTTGTAACTGTAAGTATAATAAGAAAAACTAATTATTCCACATGATTACTAAATAATGGTTTTCGTTAGTGCTGCAGTAGAAGAACAAGTGATTGCATATTAATTTCAACAAAACTCTCTGTATCGCTCGTAACTAATAAGTTGCCCTACATGTAAACAAGGAGTGGCGAAACATGGTCTGGGTACGTGCAAATAATATGGTTGATAAGTTATGTAATTATTGTGGTTAATTATGAACTGAATATTAGATTAAAGAAGCCGTTATATAAATAAGATAAATTTTACGGGCATGAGTGGGAAAACCAATTCGTTTACCCACTGAGTCAGCATTGAATCAGGATCGTCAAAAGAGCCGCTGAATCAGGATGGTCAAAAGGGCCGCTGAATCAGGATCGTCAGAAGAGCCGCTGAATCAGGATCGTCAGAAGAGCCGCTGAATCAGGATCGTCAGAAGAGCCGCTGAATCAGGATCGTCAAAAGAGCCACTGAATCAGGATCGACAAAAGAGCCGCTGAATCAGGATCGTCAAAAGAGCCGCTGAATCAGGATCGTCAGAAGAGCCGCTGAATCAGGATCGTCACAAGAGCTGCTGAATCAGGATCGTCACAAGAGCCGCTGAATCAGGATCGTCAGAAGAGCCGCTGTATCGGGATCGTCAGACGATGAACGGGATCGCAGGCCCGGGAAGTCACGTCCCTCAGACGCAGTCCGCAGCCAGAAGCTCATAACATGAATAAATGTATTGGCCTCGATAAATATTTACAGTAATTAATCTTTGACTTTTGTAAACAAGTCGATGCCTTGCATTTACATAAAACTGTCGTTGGGCAGCAGACTCTAGTCTGCTTGAGATCGAGACTCATGGTGAATGAGTGACTCTAGCATGACTTGGCGCGAGACTCATGGTGAATGAGTGACTCTAGCATGACTTGGCGCGAGACTCGTGGTGAATGATGGACTCCATGTTAATCAAGGCTTCATCGTTAAATATTCGTATAAATTTATGAATGCATCATGGTAATTGGAGAAAATTTTTACTGTTCATACTCATTTCTTCATATTGCAAAATGAGTTTCCAACAGGCAGCAGAGAAATCGTGAAGCTCGTATGTTCGACAGTTTACTCTTCTAAAAATTACCCACGTGCGACTAAATTTCATTCGTTTCCTGAATAATTCGTCGATAAATAATTGAAATGATTTTCTTATCTTGCGTCAGTAGTCGCAAAATTCGTCGATCGTTCGGACGTCGAATAGATTAAAGACAAAAAGAAAACCGAATACGAACAAAAAAATAAATTAATTAAATCAGAATACAACTGCTTTTGCTTATCATTCAAAAGGAAACTAAAAAGCAAATTTTCAAGATATTTTATTATAAAAAATGACAACAAACTTCCTCTTGATACAAGGAGTTTCACGCAAGATTACAAACGTCGCAATTAACGGCACGCAAGGGACCAACTGCGAAGACATCAACCCAGCGTCGAATTTAGAAAATAATTCATTCTGATTCTCTTGTAAGCGCTCGTCATTTAATGATTTGTTGTTCTCACAGGAGCTCAAGTCGAGAGTAAATTTAAGTAGTAATTTGTAGTTCAAGGTTACATCTAAATAGCATCGTTCGATTTCCTCTCACAAAGAGTAACGATCTAATCCCTCTCGGTCTTGAACAATCTAGAGCAGTTACCTAGATTAATCTACCTAATTCGCTCGATATCGTTACTATTTTTTAAGATTCACTATGTGAAATAAGATTTACACGGTAATATCAATCCTTTTAAATAGTTTCACATGTTTTAGCCTTTTTAATCTTCGTATTTCTTCAGCAACATGGCACTCGCTCACGATTAAAGCTAACAACCAATTAAACTGTTGCGATTGCCAATAGCACCCATGATCGCTATTCGCTTACTAACCAATTGTATTGTGTTTGTATCACTGGCTCCTGGAAAATATGATCAGGACATAATTTTTCTGACGGGTCACAAGCCTAATTCAAACGAACTGGGATGGCGCCGGGGATGGGGGGTAGCCTAGGGCCGCCGGCGCCGGTGAACTGGATGGGCGTCGCCCCTTGGGGGATGAAGGGGAGCTGGGGAGCTGAGGAAAACTCATTCTGAGGTTGAGGCCTGGCGGGACGTAGAGGACGAGCAGGTGGTTGTTCCTCTTCCAAGGGAGGCAGGGGCGCAGCTTCTTCATCTTGGATGGGTGGCTGGAAATCCAACTGATCATCTACAAACTGCTCTTGTGGCGGCAGTTCCTGCTCTAGAGGCTGGAATTGTTGTCTTTGAGGTACTGGTCTTCTCGCCGGCTGAGGACGTCTAACTTGGGCGGGCTGCTGGAATTGAGCGGCAGGTCTTCCGCCGTCGCCTTCTTGGAACGACTGGACCTGGTTAGCTCTCACGTTCTGTGACTGTTGTTGCTGCTGCAGAGGCTGTTGCTGCTGCTGCTGGACGCCTTGGCGGGCCTGGCTTTCTGGACGCGGGGTTGTTGACGGGACGTCGCAGTCGGCAGTGGGAGGAGCGATGCAGCGTCGGGAGACGCGGTCGAACACCAACGTTGCTGGGCACCTCTGCAGACGAGGGTAGCCTCCTTGACAGGCCCAGTAGCGTTCGCACGATTTCCCCAGCTGAACGTTGGCGTTAGGATCATCTTTGCACAAAGCTGAAAGTAGAAATGGGCGTTCAATTCTTGTTGTTCCATAGTAAAACAGTAAATCGTTTTGAATAAAAGGACCAAATTTTTAATCAATTCTGCTACTATTATATTGCTAAAAATACTATTTTCATAGACACCATCAATTTTGAAGTGAATCAGCCTAATTTCACTTGCAAATAAATACTAGCTAAGCAATTTTTTATTCGACAAACAAACTCACGATGCTTTTGACATCCAACGACATTCTGGGGCCAATCGCAAGCGTGCGTTTCTTCGTTGTAGAGGAGACCTCCGATGCAGAACTGCTCGGTGGCGGTGCCGTTCCAGCAGGTCCAGTAGCGCGTGCAGGACGTCTCGTGGCCGAAGATGCCGTACAGCCACTCGCAGTGTTCGGTCGAAATCGGTGCATCTGAGAGAGACGCACGACGCCATAAAGCGAGTGAGCGAGGCTAGGCTACCGAATCAGAATTATAGAGCTGATCTAGCTCGAAATGACAACCATGTAGAGACATAACACTGCCTCAAAATAATAACATAATACTGCTATTGTTTTCATAATTCAATTACTTGTCTCACAGTATCGGGTAATCAGCATATGCCATTATTACCGTAAATGTTATGCTAAAATTGTACTCGTGTAACTAATGCCAAGTGGTGCCGTAGTAAACACGTTTAGAATAACACTAAGAAGCTTACCCATAAAGTGCGACTCGCTTACGTTCAATCATCTACAAAGCAGTGAATGTGCAAGTAGAGAGTAACTATAGTAATATCATCGTTTAATTACTCGTAATTTAGAGTCATGCAGTAAATTGAAAGTTAATTTCCAGCGACGAAGATCTACCTTCATTCTGAGATATCCTGCGCAGTTCCCTCGACATGCGAACGTGAAAGCGAACACTCACCTTTCCCCTGCACGTCGTCACGATCGCGCCGCACGATTGAGATCGCATCAAATTACGTCGATTTAATTAACGAAGGGAGAAGAAACTGTGAAGCTTGCTGCAGAAATGCGTTGCATAAAAGAATTGGTTCTAATGTGTACTGATAAATTCGGGAGTATTCAATTTTTAAATAAAATTTTATTATGAAAGAACGATTGAACAATGTTATTGTTTAAAGCTACAAAACAGCCCTGCTGTTTCCAATCTCCGTCCATGCTTCAATACAGGATGACATACTTGTTGAATTTGAGCTCTCTGTATCATAAGCATAATCTACTGCTAGATTCGAATGCAAAAATCTCATTGCAAAAGTCCACTCCTGATCATTTTAAGCAAGCTAATCGCAATTCACAGGATTTGTTAGAACAAAATCGGCTCAAACAACTTACTAGCTGCCTGCTTGTTAAAGCAATAGTTTCCTCTCCATGGGTAATCACAACCCTCAGCGATGCCTCTATTCCTCCCGACGAACACAAGTCCGTTGGGGCAGTCGAAGAGCTGTGCCTGACCGTTGACACACTCCCAGTAGCGGTCGCAATATGTCACGTCGCCCACCACGCGCGTCTTCAGCGTGCATGGGTCGGGCTGTCCGCCGGCCGCTTGCCCTTGAACAGAGCCTGAGAGAAATGGACGGGACTTTCATTACCAGAGTTGGAGCTTCACTTTAGGGCTACGACGTTCCCGGGCCTGCAGAGTTACGCTGATAACCTGGAAACTCATGGTGAAGGATAAAAAGCTTTAAGATTGTTGCAATAATTACTGTTTAAAAATAAGTGTGCACGGTCAACTTCCAGAAACCTGCTACGTGATTCCAACGAGTTCCTGAACCTACAAGTGCAGCGTAATGTGTACATCTAAAGCTAATCCAATAATTAAATCAGTAATAACAAACCATTTGACGACCACCTTGCAGTCTACAAGAAAAGACAAAATAGAAAACCTTAACACATACCAGTAAACTTCGGTAGAACGGGGATTTACATCAATTATTTGCTTCGAAGCACGGAAAATTTTACCCGCTGCAATAAAAATCCGCCCCAGCGGAAGTGATTCAATAAATGTGCAGTCAAAGGTCAGCGCAGAATAATTGGGAACAAGGCCTTCCTTTTAGCTATGAACGGTCGAACACAAATCCAATGAAAACGTCTAACCCAAATCATACAATTACTATACAAAGTATTCTATTTAACCGTTTAACAGGACTAACTTCCAACATGCAATTGGTCTAAAATGTCACGGTCGCATGCGGGTCAACAGGACACCCACACACTGCAGATTGGCATACCGCTCACAACCACGAAAACCCGTGAGTTCAAACTATGCGTTGTTTCGCATCTCTAGAAACCTCACCTCTCAGGTTTCTATCCCCGCAATCGACGTTGAAATCATAATCACACACATCAAAAAGGCCTCTGTTGCTTTTCCCATGGTAAACCAGTCCGTTAGGGCACAATTGTATGGTTGGGGTCCCATCGAAACATTCGTAATAAGCGTCACACTGAGACGGGTGCTCAGCAGTCCGTGTTTTGGTTTGACAAGGGTCTAGGAAATGCAACTGTTGTTGTTGCTGATGTGTCTGTTGTTGAATTTGTTGTTGGTGCTGTGGTTGACCACGCTGTTGATGGTGCTGCTGCTGCTGCTGGAAAAAAGGCTGCCCCTGGAAATGCTGCTGGCCTTGGGCTTTGATAGGGACGAAATAACAAGGCTTGTTAATATCTTTAGCGTCCAACGAGTCTTGGGAACATATTTAAAGACATATTTTGTCCTTCATTGAAGAAGACGGTTTATATTGGGGAGTATTTATAAGGAGCTTGCATAATGCACTCAATTAACTCAGCTCTTATTAAAACAAGTTATTTCAATACGAAATTCTGCCATGCAAACAATAAAATCTGCAACGCGCGACCTCCAGAATTTCAAGCGATACACACAGGCATGACAACTTAAACAACATGGCTATAAATGCTAAGATAACAATGCTGCCCACGTCGGGATTTTTTTAATAGCCAGATTTTTATACAAGTTCTAGAAATATACAGATTAATGAGCAATTCAAACTTTCCGTTGAGTAGGGGGACCAGGAAAGGATTTGTTGATCGCCTGGAGACTGGGAGAAAAAATGCACACAATTTTGCATACCAGTGCTCTACACTCGTGTACTATAAGCATACCAAATAAACAGAGGAAATCTGCTCAAATAAACCAATCTTAAGCAGTTTGTCAGCACATCTTCGTCATTATTTTATCATCTTGAACCAACCGAAATAAATTGCCAAATAAGATTCACCAGCACTCGGATGAAGCACTGCGCATTCAACACGTTTGAGGCTCGCGTTCAAACAGATCGATCTCACAGCATTGCACTGAACCGAAACTTCTCTAGCTCAGTTCTCCTATCTCAATTTGACACGGAAAAATCTTCTAGATTATTCCAGTCAGTACAAATGAGACTTGTGATTGTCAGGACTAACAAATAAGATTTTAAAATGGCTTTAGATCGATCATTTGATTGTGTGTGATATAATTTAATTGAATAAAAACATGGTTAACCGGGCTTTATTTATTGGCTTATACTTATTTTATTGGCTTATATGTTTGGCTCTAAACAGCACTCATTACACGTTTCACCAGGAATTAAAAACCTATCAAGTTTATCGTTCATGCTGCTAAACTTCCTAATAACAGAATACTCCTCCATTCGTCAGAGTAAAAACCTATGGGGCAACAAATTCCAGAACAACTGAGAGTACAAAGAGGCCTCCCCTACGGAAATAAATTCATTGGAATGAAAGTAAAAGTGACGTTCTGAATGCCTGGGCAGGATTCGTGCCTCGGTCCTAGCACCAGTCGGGGCCATGCAGGCTAGCGACGCTCGGCCGAAAGTGAGAGCGAGCGATTCAGAGCGCCAGCCTCAACGATCACTTTCACCGCATCGCAAGACGTACTTTCAGCTCTGCTCATCGGGCTTGCCGACGGCCTTCCTGGCCTTCTTATCTCCCAACAAAAGTTCCAGTCTGTAGTACTAATTCACTTTGATCCAGAAAATAATGACAAGAAACGTGAGTTCCAATTTTGCTAGTTCATACACAGCCTTTTTGATCAGAGTGCTTACTATAATATTATTTAAGAAGACATTCAAGACGTTTATAAAAAGATCACTTACTATAGGAGTTACCTCGGGCAGTTCTATGCTCACTACCTTTCATTCGAAATATTTCAAAAAGATTTTGGAAATATGATAGACAGAAAAGATGAGTCCAAGAGGTATTAATACAGTATAGTCTCAACGGGCAAGAGATTGGCATTATTATGAATCTTCGAGGAGGAGGTCATTACTGGTGATGTTGATTTGCTGATTTCAGACATGCTAGATATTGCATGTTATCCATGCATCCAGTATTATCTTTGAAAATTTTATTAAAACTTACAAGAGTTAAAATCTACAAAGTTCGTGGGGTTCATGACGAATCAATGAATTTTTACCAATTTGTCCGAATCTTCCTTTCTTTCCTGTATTCTTCAGGTGAAAGTATCCCCAATGAAATGCTCTTACACGAATATTAGCCCCTAAAATTATTAGTATTAGAGTATTTCTTTCATTACAGAAATAATAAATCAAAATGCTGGTCAAAAAAGCTCGTAAGATATTCGATAATCGATAGACTAACTTTCAACGAATAATAAAATGTTCGAGATGTTGCAAAGGAAGTGAATTATTGTTCCAGCCTGGGAGCAGATCAAAAAATTTTCCGGAAGAGGTTTTTGCTATCGTTCTGTAAGACATCTGAAAACTATGATTTAAGAGATCAATTGTTATATTTTTCATATTACCTTGCCATAGTTTCATTAGTTCATGGTAGTCAATGACTTACAGCTCATGCGTTAAAATTTTTAAGATCGAATGAGTGAAAATGAGCGTTGTTGTGCTTCACCTCCAAACGTGGCCCATCAGATTTTAGTTATACTTTACAGCCGTTGTCAGTTAGTTCATAGAGGGACAGTCTGGGTTTTTATCAGCTTCACTAACACTAGATAAACCTTTGTATTTTGCTCTCGCCCTTTACACAACGCTAGCTGAAACCTGGCTGACTTGCCCAGAAAAAAATGACATCAAACGCCTTCCGCTTCCTTCTTGCGAGCAGGCCTGAACTAAAACAGGTTCCTGCTTTATTACCAACCAAGGCACGAAAGAGCTTGAAAGTCGGCCATCTTTCTGGAACAAGTTTCGAATTTAAATTATTTTCCTTGTTCAACTGGATATGTTATAAAAACAAATTACACTGATAGATACCATCATTTTCTGTTGGCTGGTAAAAGGCCAGCTCGTCAAAGAGAAAGGGTAAAGCGTCCCGTCTCTTATATATTTTGATTATAACTGTGTTTGAATTTCAAACATCGTAAGACTGCAGTAAGTGCAGTTATCCTTCTCCCATCCTGTTATGGAATCCATCCAGAGAGCAAAACCAACTTCAAATAACGAAATAAAGTTTTCATCAGCCATAGCGTTGTGAAGCGCGCTCACTTGGACGCTTGGTATTTACATCGGGCCATCGTACTTTTACTTTCGGTCTGCGGGCGAGTGCCGCCAACTGCAAGACGTCGGTTTCTTTCCTTGTCTGGAGGCATCGACCACCCATACTACAGTCACATACGGTACATAGAGTTAGCTTCGACACAATGGAGCCAATAATGTTCATTAATTAGAGATCTCGACCGAAGTAATTACAATACAAGGAATTCGTTCATCATAAATTCAGACAAGGCGTGCAACTCCTCCACATGGTGAGACCTTATTTTTCGTCACAGGACTCATAGGAACTTAAACAGAACTTGCATAATAAGTTGTAAAATTTTCATTTCTCTAAAAATTTATACTGTTAACAAACAGTGTTTTCGATAAAAAGGATTGTTAGATGACGATTCATATTGTAACTGAGAGATCTAACTTAGCTGAGAAGTGAAATGCGGCTAAGGGTTCTAGGAAAATGCAACCTAGCGTCTTCTTGTATGGTGACGCGTGAGATATAAGAGATTACAGTGTGGAGTAACTTTAAGACAAGTACTGATTTCTAATGATAATTTTAAAGCCAAATTATAGATGTTATTTCAGCGCTTCTAGGATACGCTTCCTCCCAATCAAGATATTAAATGATACAGATACAGAAAATCGACATCACTAAGCCGAACTTTGCCGGTAACTCGACAGAAGCCATTAAAATTTGAGTTTTAGGGAAAGCCATTAACAAGGAACGCGCGAGCTATAATTAATGTTTAAAAATGTAAATATGACTACCATCCGTTATGATTAAAAAGTAAGAAACAGTCATAGACAAAGTTTCAGTTATATCTATAAACTAGCATCAAAAAAATAAGATCATTGTTATAAATTGTTTTTACTGAGGGGAGAAGGTTGTGGTCGAACGGCCTTCGAACTAGGAGCTCCAATTAAAGTTCCCTCCAATGAAACATTTCTCAGCTCGAAATTGAGTCGTTAACTAAACATCACGGCTGAGATATTATATATACCCGGAAATTTTTTTCGGTAGGTTTCAATCAATGCGATTAACCGAAGCCAACTAAATCGTTAGAAATACAGGACAATCTGAATAGTCATGTG